GCAAGAAAACACTTCACGCAACTGTGGAGCCCGTGCATCTCAGTTGCATAAAAAAGACAGTTTTATTACCCTACTGCACGCTATCAGCTGCGCAATAGATACTGGTTTATGGATGATTAACTGCCCTAATGAACCTACAGTGCTTCTGGAGGGTCTGAAACTTGCAGAGATTCGTCAACACCAAGTATTCACGCTTGTCATCCTTGCAGAGAGCAGTGATTCCCCGGACAAGACCCGTTGCGATAATCTGCACGACAGGGACTCCACCATTATGACTATGATTGACAAGCCACTGAGCACCAAGGAACGTAATGGACTGACGAGTGTTCGGCGCAAACATGCCACTATGTTTGATTTCGCTCAGCACGATCCATCGTCATTCTCTGCTTCTCGTATGAAGCACTGAATCGACACGACATCTCAAAGACCTCTCCGACCAAAACCAGTTCGTGTATCGCATTCGAAAGGCGCAGTGATCAAGGAACAGGTTTGCGAGATGCTCAAGAAAAATGTAATTCAAGAATCCTGCAGTCCGTCGGCCGCTACAGTAATTCTAGTGAAGAAGAAGGATAGGACATCGCGATCTTGTGTTAACTTGCGCCGTCTCAACGCCATCACTAAAAAAGACGTATACCGACTCCCGCGGATTGACGATGCTATTGACTGTCTATCATGGGCCTCTTGCTTTTCATCTTTGAATATCAGGTCAGGCTACTGGCAGATTCCAATACACGAAAAAGACAAGGAAAAAACGGCATTAGTTACTACAGATTGACTATTTGAATTCAATGTGATGCCATTTGCACTCTGCAACGAACCTGCAACTTTTCAGCGCTCTATGGACAACATTCTGCGTGGATCGAAGTGCGAAGTGTGTATGTGTTACTTGGACGACGTAGTAATTTTTGGGCGCACGTTTTGTGAGCACAACACACGCCTTGGCCTCGTGTTGGACTGCTTAAGCAAAGCACGCTCGGTGCTCAACTCAAAGAAATGTCGTTTCAAAGAGCATCAAACAATTGTCCTTCGACTCTTAGTAGACAAAGAAGGCATACGACTGGATCCCGCTAAGACGGCTGCAGTGAAGGCGTTTAAGCAACCTCACTTGGTGAAAGAACTGGCCAGCTTCTTGGGGCTTTGTTCATACTTTCACCGATTCATTCCTGGATTTGCCAATAGCGCATACCCGATCACGTGCCTTCTTCAGAAAGGTGCGCAGTTTGACTGGACCCCGGAATGTGAGTCTGCTTTTTCAGTGCCGAAGTTTCTTTTGACGTCTCAACCAATCCTTCGACACTTCAATCATCTGTCTCCCACTGAGCTTCACGCAGGCGTCAGCCGTATTGGTGTAGGTGCTGTCCTGTTTCCACGCTTGGATAACCAAGAACACGTCGTAGCGTATGCAAGTCGTTCACTCAGCAAGTTAGAGCATAACTACACTGTCACAGAGCAAGAATGCCTTGCAAAAGTCTTCGCATTGCAGCGCTTCCGGTCCTACCTGTACGAACGCCCCTTTACCGTCACGACAGATCATCATTCTCTCTGCTGGTTGGTCAATCTGCGTGACCCATCTGGTTGCTGGCACGCTGGGAACTTCGTGTGCAAGAATATGACTTCACGATTTTCAATAAAAGCCGCCGACGTCACGCTGACGCAGATTGTCTTTCGCGACTACCGCATCCAACAACGGATTGTGACGCGGATAACTTCGACACCTACATGGCATGACTGGACCAACCATTTCCCGATACCAAGACCTTTAAGGATGAGAAACGAATGGGGAGCACCATACAGCAATTTTTTTTACCAAACCAAAATAATCGCCTACGTGCTTCTGCATCCGAGACGGGCTAGTGTACAAAAAGAACTACACCAGCACCAGCTCACGATATCTTCTGGTGGTTCCGAAGAGTCTTCCCGTTTATGTCTTGCAAGCTATACATGATGAACCAAGATCCAGTCACCTAGGCCCAGCAAGAACTCTTTGCTGTCTTCAAGAAAGATTCTACTGGCCCAAAATGCGCCAGACGACGGAGCGAAACTATTCTAGCTGTAACGAGTGTCAACATCATGAGCGCTCAACAAGTGCTCCTCCAGGGCGAATACATCCGGTACCGCCCCCTAGAATTCCATTCGAGCAAGTCGGGATTGACCTCCTTGGGCCTTTTCCCCGGTCTTTCTGTGGAAATTGCTGGATAGTCGTCTGCACCAACCATTTATTTAACACGGTACTGCGAGACAGCTGCCATACCATCGGTAACTGCAGCCGATGTGTCTTTTTTCATGCTACGTTTTGTAATTATTCGACATGGACCTTCTAAAACTGTAATCAGTGACATTGGCCGACAATTCACAGCAGACGTGGTGTAAGAGATGCTTCGTGTTTTTGCTTCAACATTTCGCCATTCTACACCATATCATCCCCAAACGAATGGTCTAACTGAACGGACGAACAGAACTTTATGTATATCGCATCAGATCACAAGGACTGGGACAGTATTTCACCTTTTATCACATATGCATTCGACACCTCACAGCATGAAACTACCGGCTACAGTCTTTTTTTTTTCTTCTATATGCTCGACCGCCTCGTCATACCCTGAGTACCAAGTTCCCCTGTTTGAACCACCATAATTCCTGCATATCCGAGATAATCAGTCGGGCAAAAGAAGCTAGACGCCTTGCTTATTTGTGCACTCTTGCTTTCCAAGACCACTCGAATGCACATTTTGACCACCGATGACGACACGTGACGTACAATTGCAGCGACCTAGTATTGCTGTGGACACCGACTAGAAAACGCGGTTTGAGCGAGAAAATGCTAGAGCACTATGCGAGACCTTATCTTGTTGTAGACCGTGTTAGAGATTTAGTTTATCGCATAGCACGTCTTCATTCGAACAACCGAACATCTGCAAAAACTGAACCTGCCCATGTTGCACGTTTGAAGCGCTTTATTCCTCGAGAGACTGTTCGACTCACCCAGTGTGCTTCGTCTGCGTGGAGGCAAATGTTACCACATAGGTAATTATGGTATGTGCACCTGTGTGGCGTGGAACAGGGTGGTGGCAGAAGAAGAAGACGTTTGGTTGGTGGCAAGAGCTCGCTGGTGTGCGTTCACTGTATCAAATGAAAAGGCTGGGGCAGGTATCTTCTCACGTTCCCTTGACTGGTCCTTTTCGGTTAGACTCCCAGATTACACACCAATATTTATAGCAGAATTATTTGCTATTGTACTGGCACTACGAAAAATTGCTTTGGGCGAATCGGAAGCAGTCGTAATACAGATTCTTTTTCAGTATGTGCTGCTCTGTCTTCAGGAGCCAACTTAACACTTATGCACATGTTTTGACAACTTCTACCGACAAACTTGCAAAAACTGCAGCTCTTATGGGTACCAGGCCATCGTGGCATATATTTCAATGAGATGGCGGATGCACTAGCCACAGTATCTCTTAGCGGTCCCCTTATCCCGATTTTGCCTGATACGGCTTACGCGACAACGATAAGGTTTAGAAACCTGTGTTTGCATGAATGCGACTGCTACTCATTGGATAAATATCGAGATTTCGCACATCTAAGATGCCGCTGGAATAGACAGTGGTCAGAATATATATAAATATATACATATATATATATATATATATATATATATTTATATATATATATATATATATATATATGTATATATATATATAGGAAGGCACGGTGGTTGAGTGGCCGTAGCGTAGTATATAGTCTAGTAGATCCTCCGTGAGCGGTCACAACGTGGTTTATTTCGACGTTTCGGCCTAGACTCTAGGCCGAAACGTCGAAATAAACCACGTTGTGACCGCTCACGGATGATCTACTGGACTATATATATATATATATATATATATATATATATATATATATATATATATATATATATATATATATATATCATTTTAGACTCACCATTACCTCTGTCTCAAATCACATCTGATGGCCTGCATCGCTCCCTGCTCAGATATACTCCTTTTTCGATTTTCGGCTTTTTTTTTCTATATTTTTTTCAGCCCAAAATTACGTTTTGTTTGAAAAACCATTAGCCTTTTAGGTAAAATCCTGCCGCCCGGTTCTTGGCCGATCCCCCATTGTGGGTGTGCGCCAGAGTGTCAAGGATCATCATCATCATCACTGTATACCGTCGAGTCGACCGTTCCGTCGGCTCTGAATGAACCCCTCTCGTAGGCGGAACGATATCATTACCCTTGTTTCTGATCACGAATGCTTCGGTGAGTTCAGGTGTGCTTTTGCGCTTGTGTTTCAGTATAATAACAGTTTTACCGGAAAAGTATTGCAACCACGTGATCTGCAATGCGCTGAAAGGCGGGACGCTCTTTTAAAGGGCCCCCAAACCGCTGCGACTTCAAGGGCGAGGCTGTTGTTTCTTTCACGCTTTTCCTGCGTCTTACTGGTCACTTCACGAAACACGTGGAGTGTCAGCGGCAAGCGTCAGTCAGTATCTCGCTGTTTTCGACCACATGAAACTACGCCTGCTTGCGCAGCTCGCAAACGCAGAAAACCAAGTGAAGTCAGATGGTTGCGCATGATAGTTATGCAAGACATACGAGGCAAAGCAGACGCTTCACAAGAGACATAACTCGTATATCGACCGATCATTGTCGCGTTAGGAAGTTGTTAACGTCAAGAGTTGTGCCGAAAAGACGTTAAACGGCCATTCTTCGCATTCCAACTGTTACTTAGGGGCCTTTTAAAATAATATTTTGCCAGCCAAGTATTTCGTACTACAAGTAATCGCAGAGTAATCGGATTGGCCTACCTTTCCGCACCAGAGGGGAATCTTTTAGACCACACGAACGAGCAGATCCAACTATATTGCGAAGTTCGTGAGCTCAACCATTTCTTTGACGTTACCTAAATTTTCTACGCATGCATATGTTGGTCTTTGTTGCGTTGTTTTATTAAACTTGAAGTGATTAGACTTGAGTGTTCGTTCTATTCTTATTACCTACCGAATGCGTCCTTGCCCCAGCCAGTGACCCAGCAGCGGTGACCTTCGAAGGTCTCGCGGAGCCCCGGCAGGCAGGCAGCTCCAATGTGGGGCAGGTTCAGGTCGACCGGAGAATCGAGGCGGATGAGTGCCAGGTCATTGTTCAGGTTGCCCGGAAAGAACTCTGGGTGCACGACCACCTGCGCCACCTGCTTCTCGACGTGAGCGTAGAACTCGTCCTCACGGTTCACGTCCCACTCTCCGAGCCTGATCTTGATGTCCTGCGGACGGAGGCTATCGAGGTGCGCAGGTTATGCGACGACGTTTCAATTAGTGATTTGGGACGATTGACACGAAAGCTCTTTCTGTAAGTCAATAGGAAACGTCCCTTATGTCTGATTCAGTAGCATCACAGTGTGAAGCGCAGAAGTTCACCCGCCAACTAAGAGAGTTGTACCAGTGTGTTCTTTATGCATCTCCTAGGCTCTTTCTAGACACCCCCAGCTTTCTTTCTTCGTAACGATTGTTGTATTATCACCACCAATCGAGACTTTTTATTTCGTAAAACGTTGACGAAATAGCTCACAAGAGAACCTAGGTTGAACGGGTGTTGACAGTTAATATTTTCCCACTCCACTATCTATATTTCCATTGCGCGCATGACGAGTCTGACATAGCTGCTCTTTTGCGCGACAATTCACAGTCCTTCGTGGCCGTTGCTGCTTTTTCAATGCCTCAATTCAATATAATAACCATCGTGAAGTTGCACTCACTTCTTAAGACAATGAGCCGCCGTGGCAACCCATTGGCTAGCGATCAGTGTTCCACCGCAGACGTATAGGCTCTCCTGTGGTGCCAATTTTTTCATGATGCCCACCTGCGAGTCAGACAACTGTGAGTCATGTATCTTACTGAAGTGCTGCAACCGACAATATAAACCAAGCTTCTGTAACCAGTTTATTCCGGTGTAATTCAACTGTTGTGCACAACAAACCTTCACCGCAGTGATATCAATGTAAGGTTTCTTAACAAATTTGTTTTTAAAAGCTATTCTTATCCACTAAAGGACGTTCTTTGTGGCACTGCAGTATCTCCTCTGATGTTTGCAAATGCTGCAACAGAGGGCAGTCGTCATACCGACATAAACCTGTATGTCATTCATGAGAATGGTCGCCAAATGGGTTCAGGTGTGCAGGTTATTGTTGGAGGCCCAGTCAAGGACATAACCTACTCATGGGCATAAATAAAAAGAACGAACCAAGGGCAATAGTCAATTTTTTGTAAGACACACAAAGCAAATTTTTCCGACGATGAAACTAAGGAAAGTCGCACATCATATTTTACTTACCTGCAGCAGGGTCGTAGGCAGACATTTCTATGGAAAGGGGGGGGGGGGGCACCTTTCTAAATTCGCAATTTATCGCTCTTTATTTCGGTTGCTAGGAAGGAGGAGGGGGCACGCCTCCAGTGTGTCAGGCTACGCCACTGTGCTGCAGTTACAGAAATATAGACGAAATCGGGCCCGAAGCTCACACTTATGCGTTCGGTGCAGTTCAGGGAGAATGTCGGTCGCGTACCTATGCCAGTGTAATACGGGAATGTCAGCCAGCAGTGCCACTGGCGGCCAAGCCGGCAGGTGTTGTACGCTCTACTTGTCAGCGGGCGCCGCGTAGCCCTTGTTTATTTATGAGCTGGCGGCTGGCCAATGTACTCGGCCTTACCGCGGTAGTGCAGTAGCTAAGGTAATCAGCTGCTGACCCGCAGGTCGCACGATCGAATCCCGGCTGTGGCAGCTGCATTTCCGATGGAGGCGGAAATGCTGTAGGCCTATGTGCTCAGATTTGGGTGCACGTTAAAGAACCGCAGGCAGTCGCAAACTTCCGCAGCCCTCTATTACGGCGTCTCTCATAATCATATGGCGGTTTTGGGACGTTGAAACCTTACATATCAATATCAACCAATATACTCTCGCTTGCTAATTAAAGACACAGCGATAAAGGCGCTTCTGGCTTTCTACATGCTCGTTACTGTTATTGCTTTTTGGTGGTGTGTTTATTGACAAAAAAAGATGTTGACCGTCAGTGAAGGAGGCCATAAGCTTCAATGACCAGTGCTATTTTTTCAAGCGCGTAGCACTTTAGGCACCCGCTCTTTGTCAATCTCCTGATCACGCTCAAATCAAGTGCTCAGTACAGGCCTATAATACTATGCTAGCAATGCGCAAAAACAGGTTAGACTAAGCGATCAAAGTGTAAAATAATATATTTATCAGAAATGGCCGAGAAGCAATTGCTATTTTACGAAAGGGTTTGAGTGCCGCCATGCTAGGCTGTTACCCTTTGCGTCTTCCATCTATAACGACTAAACGAATAGTGCTACGGTAGACACATACCCATGAAAACTGCTGGATTGGTGGACACGATGCTTCATGGCCCTATTATTTCACGTTGCGTATCACAAAAAACAAGAAAGCATTGGCCTGAAAGCCCGAGATGGCGGCGCCCTTATAGCTTAGGTGAAATGGCTTTTAACTAACATATATTAGATAAAAAGTTTGCCACGTCCTCCAACCGGCACTTCTCTAGCTCCCAATCAGCGCACGCCATTTGGCAACCGCTTCGCAAATGACAGCGTCATGCCCACGAAAATTTTGTTCCCATGGTTAATATATTGACTCACGGGCGCCGCCATGATGAAAAAAAAAATTTGCGCAGCGCCAGGTGAAATACGGAAGCAGGAAAGGATAGGCGCACAGGATGTGCATCGTTTGGGACTCGTACACTAAAAGAAGACATTAACAGGCATGCTGAAATTCAGAGGCTAGCTGTACGGTGCATTTATAATTGTTACCGCCGACATGACCCGCCTACCTCTTTAATGCAAACAAACAACATCATGACCCTACAGAGCTGCCATAAAATAACAAGACCAAAATTTCTATATCAGCTTTGAAACTGTAAACTTGCACTCGACCCTGCTCCTTATTCAAACCTTTTGTCCCATACACCCACCAGGAACTTTGCCTCTTGTAAATTTACCTCAATTTTTGCTCGCAAAAACAATTTCAAACAATCCTTTTTCCCACGCACCATAAGTGATTGGAATGCTTTACCATCGGATACCTTCTTTTCAAACACTGTTCCTCCGTTGTTCATTCAGATCGTTAAACAAATTTGTAACGATGCTTTTATCCTATGATTGGTTTTTCTATATCTAGTTGTCTAATAATCTGAGCGACGCTACTGTGTATGATCATTCCTGCCTTGCTTCGCTGTTTTTGTCATTAGCTTCTCTTGTGTCATATGTCTGAAATATGCCCTGATTAGTCCTCTACTGTTCTCTGGTGTATTCTTTGATTGTTCCTTGGTTATTTCTTCTTGCTCTCAATTTGTATTTCATTTTCCCCTTTTTATCTTCTTTATAACTGGGATTTCATCATTGTTATTCCAACAAACCACTCCTGCTTGGGCCGCTCAAGACCTGCGGTATTGTATAATTAAAAATAAAAAATGCCTCACGAACGCATGAAACAGGGCCTACTAAAACCTAAAGAAACAGGGCTTCTATAATCAGATCTCACGATTGCAAGAACCTGTCTAATTGGACCATGTTTTACTTTCGGTTGCTGAAAAAGAGCTGAAAAGATTTCATTGAAGTTCAGGTCAACCTAACGTTCATGAAATATAACGACCGGAACGAGACGCACGGTCATATTTCTATACATTTTCTAGCTGTCTCATAATCTCAAGAAGGTGGGGTTGCGGGGCAATATTAGGGTGCCATTTTCAGTGCGCCATGTGTGTCATCAAACATTCTTCACCAGCGGAAACGGTTTTGTGCAGGAAAATGCATACGCAAAAAATTGCTCAGTGCAAGTCTTTCGTGATTTATTGCATTTCGCTTTTATGTTGAGAACAAATTAGGCAGCCAAGACAGTAGGTATAGAAATGAGCGAGTGAGAGATAACCATTACAAGCCGATTAAACTGCCGCCAGGGGACTTTCTCGCTCTTCACGTTCAAGTGTGTCGTCGCCTGCCTCTATTTGAGAACAAATTCATTCTCCCTCGACGTAAGGATGAGATGTATCATTTGATCGTGGACGCTGAAGTTATCGACACTCTTGGTGATGGTCGTAACAGCAAGAATTAGATTGCATTGTTACCCAAGGAGCTTGTCTTCTCTCGTATGCTACGAGGTGATACAAGATATTATCCGGCGTGATTTGGTTTAGGAAGCTGGCATTAACTGACAGATAAGCGCTTATCTGTCCTACTCATGATTATGGATTCAGAGCACCCTGAATTTGAAAATAAACACGTTGTTGCTAGTAGCGCTCTGTCCTGTTCGTCTATCCCTTCCTTTTTCTGTATTTTGTCTCACGCTAGAAAAATTTCTTCACATGTGTTGCCAAATAGCCCAAGTTGCAACAGTCAATGTTGGAACGATTCGTGGCTTTCAGGTGACGTCTAATTCGCTTTTTGTTTCTTTTTTTTTTCATGTCTCCCTGTACTTTCAGAGACGGCCACATAAAGGCAAGCTGTTGGCTCAAGACAATAAATAAATACATAAACGCGGTGACAAGACATTACGACTCAAACAATACGCATGACAGCCGGCGCAATAAACGTCAGATTTTTCCCAGGCGGCGCTGTGAAAAACGCTACCGCCAACGCTCTCATTGCCGCCCTGTCCATAACCACGTAGCGCAAGGAGAGCCATCTGCAAGCGAATGTATGCTGCACAGGTCCCTCTTTCGTAGGTGTTGAGGCGTGGGTTTCAGAAAATAAAAGACGTGGAAAGCTTCTTCCATCCATTCGTCCTCGCTTCAGTAAAGTAGGAATGTTATGAAGGGTTACCGTGGCAACAATATGCATCGGTGTTTCGGCGTGCTGCAACTTGCAAGTGCAAACAAGCGTACCCTGACATCGACTTCGAGGCGAGAACTCCGACTTGCAGCCTTTAATGCGTGAATGCATTAGCTTTGAGCATTGACACGGCGTCAAAGTGATGAAGTACGTACACGAGCAATGTATTTACGATCAGTGATACGAACCTCACTTCATCAGACACGAATCGCCTAGAGAGGGCTGAATAAAATTTTTAATAAATGTATAGCTAATATTTCGTCGATTTTACATCTAAGCGATTACCTGCTTTTCGTTTAATTTTTTTTGACCTTACAATTATTTGACATCTTTGATGGTCGCTTTAAAACGGGCATCTTATTGTTTGAAAAACATTGTGTTTGATCTCGATTGAAGTCTTACTATCAGACGTTATAGAGCTCGCATTTCCATTTTCGGCTTCGCGAAAATGTCCACTTTTTTCAAGTGGACACAGTGGAACCATCGTGTTTAGGATTTGTCAGAGAACGAATGATATAGGGCTATCGTCCAAGTTTATTGGGCAGCACGTCGTAGTTCCTCGAAGCCTGCCTATTCGAGCGCAACGAACTCAAAAAGGTTTTCGGTGAGCTCGCTGATCAAAAAGACACATCGTAAACGTTCAGCCTGGCCGCAGGCTGTTGCGGAAGCCCCAATTTTTTACTAGAATTGCGTATCGACTTGATTATTTTTTAAGTTTACGCATGCAAGATTGTACAACAAAGTACTGGCCGCAAACAGACCATCGGTACCGACATCTGCGGGAAGCAGAGCGACATGACTCTTTATTGTTCAAATGTATGGCAGTTGAGCAAGTGTACCTCACATTTGTCACATTGTCTTTGCCTTTTTGGCTGCTCTTAGCACAAATTCTATTGTGCCTGCAGCTGGAACTCTAATAATAATAATAATAATAATAATAATAATAATAATAATATAATAATAATAATAATAATAATAATAATAATAATAATAATAATAATAATAATAATT